TCTCTCTCTCTCTCTCTCTCTCTCTCTCTCTCTCTGTATATGTGTGAGTGTGTGCATGTATGTATGAGTTATAAATATGCCAAATGGATCGAGTTTTCAAATAATTTTATCAAAATTTACTTTTTCCGTATGTCTTATATATGAAACGTGCAATTTTAGAATTCGTTTAAATTTCTTGAAAAAAGCAAGAAAGTTGATATTTAGAATCCTTACATTTCCCAGAATGTCCAAAGAGTGACAATAGAGAGGTACTGGAAAGATAGCATGGCTAGGATGGAAGCCAACAGATTGCTTGCACGAATATCAACTAATTTGATCTTCAGAGAGAAAAGTTGCAAAACTCACTGTTTGCCGAGAATTACAGTATCCATTGGATAATCAAGCGATTATCAGCGTGATACTCAGTCCAGTACAAAATTTTCTTATTACATGACTGAGATATGAATATGAAAGGTAGCAAATTGGTGAAAACACTGTTTGATTGGCATAGAAAGACATCTGAGAGAAAACTTCAGGGGAGAGGGTTGAAGAATTATTGTGAATGGACACATCACCTTCTCTGTTAGCAATATTGATTGCAATCTTTGAATTTTATTAAAATGGTTGGAATGTTTTAGCGAATAAATCCGCTATGGGCGGATTCAATTCCAACCAAATTTTTAATAAATTGGAAATTAAATTGAGAGGGAAAATAACAGCATTCCAATAGCATTTAGTACATAAGCTATCAATATCAAATTGTCAACTCTTAAACTTTGTTGCAAAGAATGTTTTGAAAAAGTTTTGACAACCTTTTTTTCACTCGTCCATTTTTTTTCCGGTATACTCTAATGTACAAAGTACAAACTGAAATTTCGTAACCCGATATGTTTAAAAATTCAAGATTCACAATCGTTTAATAGTTATCAATAACAAAAAAAAAAATATATGCAATCTAAAGCAATAAAGAAAGAGAGAGAGGGAAATTTCATTCCATACAAAGTTTGTGATATTCTTTTCGTTAGTACGACAACAAATAAGCTATCATATGGTCAGGTCGATACAATGATTTCTTAGATTAGAAGCATATTTGCTTGGGTTCTCATAGATTTGTCAAGCGTCGGATACATTCAGCAAAATTGAATTTTTTACGAAGTGATCAATTTGTAGTTATTTTTATTGTCTCATGTGATTTTCTATTTTTATCTTCCATCAAAATAAAGAAAATCAATTATTTTGAAAATGTGTCGAAAAAAAGGTTTCTCCCACTCTGCAATTCCTTTGAAATCAATTTTTCTAGGTTTTCTTCTCTCCAGTATGCCTATAGCTACATCAAGAAAACAAATGTATTTAAGGAAGTTTTAAAAAAACCTAATTTCACTCTAATAGTGCACGATTTTTTCTCAGTTCTGCCAGAATACTTTTTTTCCCCTTGGCAAGTTATTGGATCGACTCCTTTTCGGGTACTATATTTTTGTTGAAATTAAAAGTGTTACACTCCAAAGAAATCAATACTTATTCTCTTTTAATAATCTAACTTCATACATGACAACGAATGAATCTTTGAAGAGCAGAATAATTCTCTAATTCAGTTTCATTTATGTAATTCATTCCTGGTAATAAAAAAGGAGTTAATAAGTACTGCAATGAAGCACTATCTACTTACAGAGAACAACTAACCTACCTTGATCAAGCATTATATTCATTCTTCTGGGAATACTTACGGTAAACTACTGGAGTACTGCCAAATCTCTGTTAAAATAAGATTAAGGGAGAAGCGACAACTATGAAGGAGATGCCATGCAAAAACCAGTCTACTCGGACCTTTGTCTTTATGCAAATGACGGAAGCTAATTTATAGATTGAAATATGTCGATTTATTATTGGCTATAATACGGGCTTCTTCTTTCCAAATTCTCCATACGTAGTGAAAATAAGCTAAAATATTTACCTATCCGATAAGAAATGGACATACAAGTAGGAGAGAAGAAAAATCCTAAACTATCCCTGAGAGTTCCCAAACATAACCATACATATATGAACAAATATTTGTTTTCTCGCACTGTCAGGTAATCCACTTCACAATGTACTTTAATCAATTATAAGCTGGAATATTGGCATTATCAACTTTAAATATTTTTTGCACCAATTACAATACCATTTTGATTTTGATAAAATTACAAAATGCATTTTAAAAAAAATCGTAAGCATTAAACAATAAAAATACTACAAAGCACAGTGGATAACGTTAAGTGAGACTTGCAAAAAGAATCACACTGATGAGAGTACTTCTTTTTTTTCCAGAATTTTGACTTGCAAAAAATTTTCCCATGATTTCTCCCATGCCTCCAACGTGATAATCTGAAAAGAATTTGGGAGTTAAAAATAAGCAACACAACAAATATCCAAACTAAAAGTTAAATGCACAGTGATTCATTACAGAATCGTCGTTTGACTAATTAAACGAAATCAACGATTGACAAATTGGAAATTCTAGTTCCTATTGAACACCGATGGCAACATGTCCCACTTTATTCCAATCTACAAAATCCGTTGCACTGTGCCTAAAAATGAACATGGAAATCTAAGTTCGCTTAAATTTTGAATCAAAAAAATCCGTTCAAATTCCCAGAATATTCGCACAGCCTCCTTTGAAACACTGAAATGTATTCATTTCAACACATACAAACGCGCACATTGTATTTGCAAGTACTCCTGCAAGCACTTTTATCGAGTGCTTACAGACCCAAAATCTCTGATTCATAGATTTTATATTCAAATATTTTTGTTTGCATGATTACTTCAAAAGTTCATCATTGCAGTTTCGATGAGATTAATTCTGGGAGTGTTCTGCTTCGTTTTAATACATGTTGTGATGTGGGACTTTTACAGTATTTTATATATTTTGTCTTTTCCAATTTTTTTTGTATTCACAGTGACAGCGCAAAGCACACAAAACAGCAATAAATACACACACACACACACACACACACACACACAC